TTTTTTTATTATAATTTAATTTAGATTTGATAATAAAGTAATTTATTTTTGATTTAGTAATATAATTATTATAAAAATAATAATTAAGTACTCTGTTATAACTCAATGATTATTCTAATTATATTTTAATTTTTTTATATTTAAAATTAGATTTTTATCTTATATTTGATTATCTTTATCTACAGTTTGTTACACGAATTCACATGGAGTTTTAATAAGTTATACTGACGYATAATTWAATTGTAATTGAATTTTAAGTAATATGCATCAATAAATAGTACTTCATACATAAAAAATGGTTTTTAAATTTTTTTATCAAATACGTTATAATATATAATATAGATATATTAAAAAACATAACAATTTTATTGTCATTCAACTTCTTTTTTATCCAACTAAATAAATAAAACTAATGACTTCTATTTTCAAATATCGAGCATTTATAAAAAAAACTTCATTTTAATGATATATAAAATGATTTTTTAGAAACTTTTAACAAAAACTTTATATARAAAGTCAAGCTTTTAAAAAACTTACTCCTATCAGTTAAATTAATATACAAGAAAATTACATCAGATAAAAACTTTTTAAATTTATACAAAGAGATTAAATCATACAGACAACTTTATCCATAAAGACTTGATGAAACACCAACCAAACAGCTCCTTAGTTTACTTTTATTTGTTGACATAATTATTATGAAAAATATTGTATTTTTTTATCGTCAAATAGTTTCTTTTACATTCAGATCTAATTTGTCGTTTTACATTTAACTACGAAATGTATTATTATGTCTTATATAATATTGTATTTACTTTTTATAGGACAAAAGATTATAATACCTACCTTTTGGCATGTTTCAAAGTCTTCTTSTTTTATTATTATATCTTAAATTATATTAATAATTGAACATAATTTGTTTCAATTTTTAATTTTAAAAACTTACTTTAAAAATATTTATTTTTTATGCATGATTCTAAATGATGTAAGTCATGACTTAATGGTAAAGTCAAACATTAACCCTTACAAGTTACAAAGAGGTTATAACGTTTTTCAGAACGACCAATACATACACAAATGTGTATGTTTCTTTATATATATATATATATATATATATATATATATATGAACGATCAAATGAAAATTACTCTTATTTGTACAAACCATACAAATCACACTTATACGTCGATTTCATTGTTTAATCTTATGAAGTTTTTTCATGAAATTGTTTAATCTTGTGAAATTGTATTATATAATACTTTTTTTGATGAATTTGTTTCATATATAGTTATGAAATTGTTTCATATAATATTTAATGAAAGTGTTTCATGTATTTCTCTAAAATTAAAATAATGAAGATGATAATATTCATTATTAACATCTTCCACAATAAAAATGGTTAATCAACCTYTCATAATTACAAAAAAAATAAACAAATAAAAAATTATGATTGGTTGAATGTGGTTTTCACGGTTTGTACAAATTGGGTGGTTTTTATTTGAACGCTCTTGTATATATATATATATATATATATATATATACACACACACAAAAGTGTGTGTTTGTGTTCTTAATAGTGCTATAAAACAATTAAATTCATATAACATAAAAAGAAGAAAAACCATTTACATCAAATAGACGACAAAGCTTGCTCTAAAGTCGCATGCAAATATAACCAAATGAGCCACGAGGATACAAATTTCATCGGCTATTCACTGAAAACTCAGAAATAATTTGATTGAAAATTCTTAATTCTCAATAAAGCTAGAGTTCTTTTTTTGATGGTTTTTGACCACCAGAAATTAGTCAAAAAAAGAGTATAATTTTTCAAAGTTTTTAAAAGTTATTTTTGTGGTATGTTTTTATATTCAAATGTAGTATCAATGAAAAATGAAATAAGACTTCAAACTTTAACATCTTTTAAAAAACAAATATCATCTTAATTTATATTTATCCAAAATAAATAGATTCTTAATAATATTTAAAATTGACGTGTACCTAATTTAATTATTTAGAGTAGAAATAATGCAAAAAAACGTTACGAAAACAAGTGAAATATCTTTTTCAAAAATGGCCACCCTCATCATTCATTCAAAATAGACGTTAACGTTTCACGATTGATTCGTTTTCAAACAAAATTAATTTTTTTAACAAATATGAATATAAAGCATTATTGACAGAATCATCAAAAAATCCAAAATAAAAATATTTATAAAAGAGAAAAAAATATGTAAAATTAAATTCTGGTAATTATTTTTAAAACAAAAAATCAACTATTCATYAATTATTAATAATTAATATTATTGTTAAAATAAATATCATTTATTTCTATTATTTATGATATATCTATACTATATTATAAAACATTTGACGAACACTTTTAAAATCATTTTTATACATGAAGTACTGTTTATTGATGCATATTACTTAAAATTTGAGATTACAAGTAATTGTGCGTAATCACAACTTATTAAAGATTTATGTTTGAATTAGTGTAACTAACTGTAGATAAACATAATCAACTACAGGATAAACATCTCACTTTAAATATAAAAAATCTAAAATATAATTAGGATAATTATTGAGTTACACTTATAACATAATATTTAAYTATTATTCTTATAAAAATTATATTATTAAAACAAAATTAAATTTAATCGTTACTAAACCTAAATTAAATTATAATAAAAATTTTGAATTAAAGAAAACTACATAACGAACGAGAAATTTTAAATAGTTAATTTGATACTAATATCGATATATTTTTTTAAAATTTTTATGAATATAAACATTATCGTTTTTCTCAAAATCACATAAAACCGTATTATATCGACAGAGACAAAAAATAAAACAAAACATTATCTCGATATATCTCGTTGCATTGCGCGAGTATCCTTCTAGTAGTTATATATATAGAGAGTATTTATCATAAACAATTAATAAGTATTTAATTTTTCCAGTTTTTCATAAATCAAGWAGCTTATAACTTATCATACAAGACTTTTCAATAAACTAACCTATCGTTGATAAGCATGACAAAATTTTGAATGATATATACCTGGTATATTTGATTTGACCTGATTTTTATTATCCAGCAAAACTATATTATCTG